TGAAAGCAAATGGAAGGAAAAACCATCCCACTCAAAAACAAACCTTTTCAAACCTTTAACCCCAAATTCTAAAACCTTGAGGAAAAGTAATGCCAAGACAGAATGGCACAAATACCAACCCATGAAACAGGAATTCGCCCCTTCACATTTAAGTTAATATGTTTAGATGCTTAAAGACATGAAAAATAGCCCCCTAAGAAAACCAAGAAACTAGGAAGCTAAATAATGAAATAAGAACAAGTATCAATGAAACAGAACCAATAATGAATTTTGCAAATAAAGCACACAGTACTGAAATTAAAAGAACAATAGGTAGAATAAACTTTATACCAGACAAATTCAAGGAGATAATTAATGAATTAATTGTAAATGGTACCCAGCAGTCAACACAGAGATAAAAAAGGATTAAAAAATAAGAGATATGGAGAACAGACTGAGATTCTGACATAAATCTAATAGGACTTCCAGAGAAACAGAACATGGCAAAGAAATAATATGCAAAGAAAACAAATGGCTGATTTTGAGAATAAAAGAAAACATGAGCTCTCTAATAGGAAATGAATACTGAGTGCTAAGAAAATAACTAAATAAATCAACTTCACTCCTAGTCCATAGTGAAAGTACAGAGCGAGGATGGAGAGGAAAGACAGATTATCAACAAGAAAAGAAAAATTAGACTCATAGGAAACTTCTCTTCAGCTATTCTAGTTTCTGGAAGACAATACCTTTGAAACACAAGGAAAAATACACACATACACACACATACACACACACGCAGAGCAATGTGCTGCTTAACAACGGGGACACATTTTGAGAGCTGTGTTGTTAGAAATGTGTCATCATGGGGAGACCATCATGGAGTGCACTTACACAGACCCAGACGGTACCACCTACTGTACACACCTGGGCTGTATGGTGTGGTCACTGCTCCAAGCCTGTGCGGTGTGTTACTATACAGACAACACAAGATTACATCAAGCACAAGAGAGAACAATGCAATCAAGAGCCGGAGTAAACCCAAGCTGTATGAGGCTGCTGCCAGCATAATATGGCATACTGTTTTACAGTAAACTTGTCTCCATAAGTATAAAAATAAGCTCTAAAAAAACAATTAAAAGCATAGTACATATACAAACCAGTAACATAGTCATTTATTATCATCATTAAGTATTATGCGCCGTACGTGTGTTATGTGTGCTGCACTTTTATAAGACTGGCAGCACAGTAGGTGTGTTTACACCAGCATTGCAAACACATGAGTTGTGTGTCGTGCTATGATGCTACCACAGCTATGACGTCACTAGGTGATAGGAATTTTTCAACTGCACTATAATTTTAAGGAACCATTGCCACACATGCAAGTCTGTGGTTGACCAAAATGTCCTTATGCAGTGCATGACTATAATATGTACACTATGTTAGACCTTACATGTTCATTACCTTTACTCTTTGGCAGAGTGGCACAAGTGTATCAGGTACTAGAAACTACTGGAATCTTCTAGGCCACCTTGTTTGTTCCAAACCCCTTATTGGCAGGATGCAACAGCATGACTAGCATTTAGTCCCTGAGTGAACACTTTTGGTAGCGAGACCCCACAACTGCAGGAGGTAACTCATCCCTTCTGTGAGTGCTGACACCCCTTAAACCAACAAGATCCCTTATCCCTAAAATGGGTCAAACCCTAAAACAAATCAGGAGGAACGATGAATTTGTGGCTAAGGGCGTAGGAAGAGAGGAAGACAACGGCTATGTTTGGTGTGAGATATGTACACAGGTTGAATAATGGTTTTAGGGCATTAGTATAATATGAAAAGTCGTTATGCATGACCGTTCCACGGCTCATTTAAAACTTGTTAGAAGGCGTGGTGTTGATGGCATGAGCTTCACATAGGAGAGAGGGAGCTGATACCTGTGCCTGAGAGGCTGGCTAACCCAGAGAGGGCAAGAAAAAAGATACTGCCTAACGTCGGAGGAGAGGAGGAGAGGAGAAGAATCGGTGAAGATGAAATACGGGGGCAGAAAGTCTACAAGGCGCATTGACATTAGAGGACTCCCTAAAGATGAATAATCGTGAGCTAGCCTCAGTGAGTCAAGTCTGATCATTGTGCTGTGGTTGAAAGGAAATTGTTCCTGTTCCTTTGAGCTGCATGATTCTCGGATCACTGGACACACAGGCTTTACCTTGTGGCTTATACATTGTGAGCCAGATTTTCTCAATGGCTGAAGCCACAAAACAATATGAGGCAGAAGCTTAAAGGATTCAATTAATTCAACAACAGAAAGCATTTGCTACATGAGAAATAAACTTTCTGTGCGATGTGAGTCCCTTAGTTAGAAATAACAGCAGACTAGCAGGATCAAGAAGACCGGTGTGAGGGCTCTGCTTCTGACACGAGGGGAATCCTGGACGAGCCACACAGTCTGCTTCTGACCTTTGCATTTGCTGTTCCCTCTGCCTGCAACGGTCTTCACCAGGTATCAGCACAGCCAACTCCTCACTTCCTTCAGGTCTTTGCTCATGTTTCCTTCCCAGTAAGACCTTTCCTGCCCATTTAAAACGTTGGCAGACCCTTCATGTACCTCACTTTCTCCACTTTTCCCTCATTTTTCCCTTTAGCACTCACCACTGCCTAGTACGTGATATTACTTATTTAATTCTTGTCTCTCTTCCCCTTCTCCCAATAATGTATAAACTCCATATGGCAAAGATTTGTATCTGTTTTGTTTACTGGTACCCCAACTCCTTCAGCATGATGGCTGCATCTCCCATAGGAGATGCTGTATAAAAATTGGTTGAATGTGCAAATGAATCTTGTGTAAGTCTCGTGAGAGTATTTGAGTGTTCATGAATGCCAAACTAAAACAATTATTGCAATAATTCAGATATAACCTACAAATCTAACCACATTCCATTGAGATAAAATTGAGGTTAAGAACTTCCTCTAAGGTACTGGTTTCACGTAAGCTACGCACTACATCCTTAAGATCAGGCAATTTACATTTGAGCCCTCTGCTGACAATAGGACTATACATTGACTGATTATAGGATAACACCTTGGCTTTCTAAAGACAGCATTCCCTTTTCTTACAAGAACTCAAAAATAGAAAAACAAAAGGATTTGGAAAAGTAGAATAAAAACTATAGATTTCCACTAGAATGTTGATTTCTGTATGTATTTTCTCTCTGAAATTCTAACAAAGACACAGCTGTAACATTTCACAATCAAGGAGCTTTCCGCCTTCCACTAAGGCCTGAATCCACGAATCCAAAGGGAAGATCATGACTATCCCTGCGGAATCATGCTTGAAACCATCTACCTGTCTGGGTTCCTAGAAAGCGACTCAGCGGCTGTGAACAGGAGAGGAACTCAGTTCGATATTTTCACAGGTGAAGTTATGGATTTGTTTCTATAAAACTGTAGCTAACTCAATTTTATAATTACAGATATTTAACTTAGAGTGCTCACTGACATTAAAGAAAAAAAATTTTAAGTAGGTGGATTTAAAAACCAGAACTTGGGTTTTACTCAGAGCAAAAAATGACTATATTGTGATAGTAATTATTTTCCACCATCATTTTCACTAAGAACAGCATTCCCCAACCTCGTAACTAGTCAAACCTGTTCATTCCCTGTGTTCAAATGATAGATTACTCTGAGGTTAGCAACCAAGATGTCTTGGGAACAAGATGCAAAGGTAATGAAATGCAGAGACAAAAATCTGATTTATAAAATAAAGCTAAAAAATTGAGCTAAATTACCCATAATCACAAGTAATTAATCACAATATAGTAACTATCTGGATGAGCAAAAAAGAAACTATTTAAAACATTAAGTGTAGTCTCACATATGTAAATGTATTTAGATTAATTTTCTATAACCACAGCCCCATTACTTAGTGGTAGTAAATTGAGCCAAGATAAACTATTAAAAGGCAAGAGATTAATACAGATGGTGACTTTTTTCCTTTTCACTTCAAGCGGATTCTTTTAAAGTATATTAAAGGCAAGAAAGAAATGTCTCCTGGGCCTTCAGCTGCCAAGAAGCCTTTGCCGCCTTTGAAAATGATGCCAGCTCCCTTTGGTCCCTACAGGAAGATGGCAGAGTTACTATTACTTAGAAGAGAGCAGACTGTTTTTAACAATGTAATAGATAAACTCAGGGCTATGATGCAAGTTAGGAGAATTTATACAAAATTTCTCAGTCTTCTTGAGGGCAGAATAACAATCCTGATAGCTAGAGGAACACTGCTTTTCTATGCAAATTAAATTGTAAACCCTATAACAAACTAACATAAGCAAACGCTTCTCTCAGGTTGACGTGTGATCCTGACAATCACGTGAGTTGTAGAAGATGGGGATGGAGCGGGTGAGGTCAAGGTGGGAGGGGTATCTCTTTAAGGCTTGCATGTCCCCCAGGCTTGTGTTCCCTTTGGATTACCTGGCTATATAGTGCTTTTCTAGAAATGTGGTTTCTCGATGTAGGACAGAGGTCTAAAGCACCATGCAGGTAACAAAATATTCTATGCCATTTAAGATGTGGTAAATTAAAGAGCAACCCAAGAGTCCAAAAGAGTTTGGAAATCCTCCAGCCCAAGGTTCGTGTTTTTAGGGCCAGGATGGGCATCCTAGGGAAGCAGGCCCTTGTGCAGCTAGGTCCTGTGAGCCAGCTTCCTGCTAGCAGGAGACAGAGAAACAATTTATTTCAACAAAGACGGTAACATTTCCAACTGCAATTTGAGTTTGGCCTAGGGATTTGTCCCTGGAGATAGGGTCAGATGGGTTGATCGCTAACATTCCATCCAACTTGAAAACACAAGAATCCTTGACTCATTCACTCCATGAACATTTGAGGGTCAGTACGCAAGCATGCAAAGTGATTTTCAACAAATATCCCCTTTTACCTAATAAATATCCTTATGTTTGTGAGGATTCCAGGACAGCTGCAATTTTTATTGCAGCACGTGGAGGGTAAAAATTATGGCCATGTCTGTAACTTACATAATGGAGCTTGAATTTGCACTCATCTTCAATTTCATCTGCACTGTCTTCATCCGAAACTTCTCCTTCCTCTGCGTCATCTCCAAGATGATAAGGCAACTTCTTACCCTGAAATGGAACAAAACACTCTATTTAAAAATGAAAATAAATTCACAATAGCCCAAAGATGGAAGCAATCCAAGTGTCTACCAACAGGTGAGTAAATAAACAAAATGTGGTGTATACATACGATGGCATATTGTTCAGCCAAAAAAAGGGAAGGAAATTGTGACACACGCTACATTTTGGATAAGCCTTGAGGACATCAGGCTAAGTGGAATAACTGTCACAAAATATATATGATTCTACTCATATGAGCTACCCAGAGTACTCAGATTCATAAAGACAGAAAGCAGAATAGTGGTTACCAGGGCCGTGGGGAGGGGAGAATTGGGATTAATGGGTATGGAACTTCAGTTCCACACAATGAAAAGAGTTCTGGGGATATGTTACATGCTGATGCGAATGTACTTAACACCACTGAAACGTACGATTAAAAATGGTTAACATGGGAGGTAAATTTTATTATTTGTATTTTACTACAATTAAAAATAACTTTTAAGAAGCGAAAAATAAAAATGTGTTATCCCTTGGCCAATCATTACTTCCAACTGACTAGATAGCAGATAGTTTGTATTATGAGCAAAACAAGGGACAAGGGACTTCCAAGAAAAGGCAATTTAACTACTTTCAACAAAATATAATTAATTTGGGATGTTATATTTACAACTAAAAATCAGGCTTATTTTTGACAATATAATGGCTCATCATAACAAGTATCATATCCATCCAGTGCCATTAATAGCAGCGCATATACATACACATATACATATATATACATAGATATATACATATATATATATATATAGTTGGAAAGTATATATGTGTTACAGTTATAATAATAAACAACTTGCCTATCTCCAAAGTGGTAGGTAGCCATTCAAACAATGCCTTTTGGATCAGAAATCACTCTGATGCAAAAGGAACACAGGAAAATCAGTTCCCCTGTTTTGCTTTAGATGGAAGCATGCTGGTTTACAGATCTAGAATTCATTCTCCTTAAAGTCTGAAGGATGTCACTACTAGCTAACATACCTCAGGGGCCTTGAAATACTTCACTCACAGCCCATCTGATGCCACCCCTTCCAATGAGCTCCTCAGGATTTCTGGATCTGGTGCCCATCAGCCCTGGGACATTCCATGTCAAGTGACTGACGTCCAGTTACTCAGAAGGGACTCAATTAGTTCATTTCAGTATCTACCTTAAGTTCTTCCAAAATGCAAGGGCTTCAATCAAGTGGAATTATTCTGCATTGAACCTTCTGACTACTGACTAAAGGTGACTCAGGAAAGTGGAAACATTTACAAGGTGACATAGGTAACAGTTTTCTAACCTAGCCATCACTATTCATCACAAAAGTTTTCTTTAGAAAGACTTCAGGCCCTGGCTGGCATAGCTCAGTGGATTGAGCATGGGCTGCAAACCAAAGTGTCGCAGGTTCGATTCCCAGTCAGGGTACATGGGTACATGCCTGGGTTGCAGGCCATGACCCCCAGCAACTGCACATTGATGTTTCTTTCTCTCTCTCTCTCTCTCTCTCTCTCTCTCTCTCTCTTCCCTCTCTAAAAAATAAATAAAATCTTAAAAAAAAAAGACTTCAGGACAATTGATGATGTTATCTCTTGCATTATTTGGAGCTTTATTCAAAATGCTTTCACACATACAAATGCACAACCACTTTGATGGGGTCAGTCTATAATTCTCATGTAACAATAGAAGAACAGGTTTGACCTATCCCAAAGATGAATACTTTACATCTTTGCCATTTGCTGACCCCGCTCTTAAAGTCTTGCTATGAAATCACAGTTTCTTTGACATTTTTGCACCTCTTCTGTGATGTTTGGCAAGAGTTTTTATGCACACCCCTTTTAGGTAAAATATAATCCAGTTTGAATGTTAATACTATACTGTTCTTCCTTAGGTTTTTACTCTGCAAACAATACTAGTGACCAAGATGGTTTTAATTCAAACACAAAATTATCTGGAATTAAGTAAACTCACAAAACGATCTGCAATCTCAAGGAAGTGTCCTTCTGGCTATTCCTCGCATTTATAAAATGCATTGCAGGTAGTAAGTTTTCCCCCTCAGAAACATCTGTTTATGAAATATCATTCTAGTCATGACCACTCCTTCGCATACACGCAACGTCCTGAGAGGCACAACGCCTGTGCCCGTGCTCCCTTTGAAAGGAGCGCTTCCCATTTACACAACCATGGCCGATCAACCATGAAGACTGTTTGTCTTCTTTGACAGACAGTTACTGGAGCTTGAAATGGGAGGGAAGAATCTGAAAGAAATGCTTTCAGAGACAGGCACAGGAGCCTTCTCTGCCTCTGTGCCCCACACGGCTCTCCAGTCTGAGCTAATACAAGCCTAAAACATTAAGCCTTGGCTTACAGTATTCATACTCTCACTTCATAAAAGCATTCTAGAATATGAAGTCATTCCATAATTAGCTTTTTCCTAAGGTATGACTATAAGTAAATTGGAGCAAGGTTCATACACAAATCAAGGCAACCTTTCATGTGTGGACTCAGATTATTATTCTTCTGGGAAACCACTTTGTAACCCTTACAGGAGGGAGGGCTAAGTTGGTCATTAATGCTTTTACCATGTTCCTTCAGATAATTACCTTCACTAGGATTTTGCCTTTCAAACTTTGAGGGCTTGGAAGCTGCTTGGACTCTCCCGTGTCAACAGACGATAGGTCCAGTTTGTCCTGGAATATTCCTTTCAGGTACTGAGCAATCTTCCTTTGCTGCTGCACACTGCAGTGATTCTCAATCGACAGTATGACCGGGAACCTGCAAAAAAGGCACCACGTTCTAAAGGCAACCACCAGTAACTCGGGGTGTTTCAAAACTTGTTCTGTATTCATTATGTTTTTGCAATCCTAGTAACTGGAGAGAGTGGTGATGGTTAAAATGCTTCACAATGAGGAAAATGAGAGATGCATTATACACACACACACAAAAACAACAACTCCTCTGAGTAAATACATTTTACCAATCCACACAGGATGACTTAGTTTGGTATTTTGAGTCACGGAACAAAAATGGTATGTGTATATATGTGTGTATGTCTTTTAAATAAAGAGAAAATTTTAAGAGAAATGAGAAGCCTAAAGAAATAAAATTCACATAATATAATTTTGTTTTATTTATTCAAAAGACTAGAAACATCCAAGAGACTACTGAATATCATCAAATGAAGATATTTGCATTTAATATATACCATAAATAAAGTGTGTAATCAGCCCACAGCTTGAATATTACTATTGAGGGTAAAATAATCAAATTTTGTGTTTTATAGCATCCTGTGCCAGGAATTTCAAAATCATTTCTATACAATTATATACTAAGTCTTTACTTTCCAAGAAAAGAAGAAGAAAGAAAACTTAAGCATTCACTTACCACCAGCACTCAGGTTTCTGCATGCAGAATTCAAGACCTAAGTAAAATGATTACCAAAGACAGCGTGGAGGTGGTGGCCAAGCCAGAAAGGGAACCAGAAGCGATTACATGATATTACTCCTCTTCTGACTTTGTTTTTAACTTGTGGCAAGAAATTACTTCAAATTTGGGTTTGTTTTGACTTTTTTTTGGTTTTCCATCAATATCTTCCAAAGTAATAAGTAATATATTTTTCCAGAGTTACAAATTGATATTTAACTTGTCTAATATATCTATGGGGAGAAAAATCTGTTTCTTAGCTTGTATTACAAGTGTGAGCTCTACAATACAGGCTGTGACCTTTTGAAAGTATATTCTATCCTTATTAGTAACACCTGACACCAGAGGTCATTTAAGAGATGGACCTTTGTGACCAAAATCAGTTTGGTTTTCTGACTACAATCTATTTGATCTCATGTCCTCACACGGGTTTTATACAGAGTGGCAGGAAAGAAAGAAAAAACAAAAGAGAAATCCTCAGTGTCTATGCAATCACAGCACAGAAACCTAGCAGTGAATTTTTAAGTAGCTGACCTGTTTATGAAAAGCCTATTAATGTCTAAAGATGCTTAATGTAAAGCAGTGTTTCTCAACAAGGGAGGGAGGCAATTGTGCTGCACCACCCACTCAGGTACAGGACATTTGTCAATGTCTGAAGATGTTTTTGCTGGTCACAATGTGAGGGATGCCACTGGCATTTACTGGGTAGACGTCAAGGATGCTGCTCACCATCCTACATGTACCAGACAATTCCCCCACAGCAACAGTTGTCTGGCCTAAAATGTCCGCAGTGCAAAGGTTGGGAACCCTGGTTTCCAACATTCAACCAAAGCATGAACTCTTAAGAATGAACTTTTAAAATGTGCTAAACATGCTTATTAATGGTTTTAATATGAAGTGCTCTTCTCCTAAAGATTCCCAAATGTGGCGTAAACACTGTCAAGTCACCAGAGGCTGCCCCGAGGTACATAAGTAGCAGGTCTTCTCGACACGCCGCTTCACATATTGGGAAGCAGTAAATTCACGTCTTCCACTTGGTGAGAACTAACAGTAATGATGTATTAGAAATCAGTACTCGAGATTCTCCCATGTATTACAGAAGACATCATAAACTGAACCTAAGAGCCTCTTATTAGAACAGCATTTTATCCTCATCGGTAATTCATGACAAGGTCAAATATTAAAAAATTTAAAGGCTACTAACTTTTATTAGATTAACCTTATGCAAATGTAATTTTAATTTGCTTCTGTATAGCTCTGGAACTCGAGGGAAGAGTTCTGAATGTATAATTAGACAAATGACAAAAAAAAAAAAAAACAGGCCAAGAGCAACCACTTGAAAAATAATGACAATTAAAGGAGGAAGGAAATAAAACAGAAGACCACGGGCCAAAAAAGGAGAGTGAGAAGCAATGAGAGCAGTGGAGGAAAGAATGTTATAAGAGAAACAAACCAAAAAAGCAAGCACCGGGGAGAAAATAGTAAACATTATCAAATTCTAAGGAAGGGTCAAGTAACATAAGTATGCAAGACACTAGTATATTTGGACATCCAGCAAGTCTAGAAACCTAGATATTATTTTACTGATTTGTAACATAACACTGATAAAGTACTCTATATAGTAACCCGAGTTGCCAGACTTGATGGACACCCTGGGCTTAGAAATTTTGAGGTCACTCTTTGCAAGACTGTGCTTTGAAGAAGCACGTCTAGAGGCAGAATGGGGTGAGGAATAAATGCGGCATGAGAAAGTATGTACATAGAGCCCATGCTATCTGTTCCCAGTGTTCTGTTGGGAAGGAAGGGGAGACTGAGGGTGGAAGGAAGGAGGTGAACACTCCAAGGGAGAGTGTGCACTTTTAGAGTCACGTTCCATTGGGCAGCTCTCAGAGCGCTGGCTGAGCTCAGCTTCCCGGTGTCGCTACACTTACTCATTCTTCACAAACGCGTGCTTGTTGATGGTCTCCACGACATCTCTGAAGGGGATTTTTGAAGTGAGAGTATAACCGTGGTGAACGACTGGTTCCCCGTCTGGGCCATCCCAGCAGTCGACTGCCAAAAACAGAACTGTGTATCAACAACCAAAAGCTTCTGGCATTTAGTAATATTTCTGGAGATGGCAAATAAGTATTATTTCATTATTTGAGATTACACATATTACAATCATGACAAGGATGTCAAACAGAGAAATATAAGTATTCTGATAGATTTACACATTTATCAGAACAAGGAATTAAAGATAATAAATAATTTGTTTGGGGGGGGGTGCTTGTAAGTTAACAAAGATGCCATATTCACAAGCAGCTTAGCATTTACCAGGAACTCTCATTGGAAACTGGTCTAAATCAAGGGTTCCAAGGATACTGATGGTTTCTTAACAGATTAGTTCAGTCATTTCACTTCTTCAGTTGGCTAAGGTCTTTCAATAAGTCACAGTGACCATCTCAAATCAAAAATAAGGTTTTCATTTTTGTTTATTTAAATTATATTTCCATTAGATTTATTTACATTTTATTAATTCTACAGTAGTTATAACATTGACATCCTGTGTTCAAATCCTCAGGCCCTGCCAAGATTCATGTGAATATGGGCAAATGGAGGAATCATTTAAAATCTTTTATAATCTATAAAAAGAAAATAATAATAGCACTTGCATCATAACTTCCAGTGGTGATTAACTACATACAAAGTTGCTTATCATTTGGCACAGAGAACTGATACCGCTACTGATAACACTGACATTATGTGTGTAGACAACCTCACTGGCTCTGAGCTGGAGAAAGGCACTAGCTTCCTCACCATCCTCTCCACCTTAGAGTGTGCCTTCTCTTGTCTTAAACTACTGCCATCAGACTAATTTCCCATGTCTTTACCATGTTGTTCCTTTGTTCAAAAGCCTGCCCAGTGCATAACACAGCATCCAACACATAGTAGGTACCCAGTAGATACAGGCTAAATTCACTAATAACTATCCTGCAGTGACTCCCACCTCATTAACCCCAAGGTCCCCACACTCTCTGGTGCTAGAGACTGGCTAGTGTTCGCTCAGCCTGTTTTCTCTCTCACCTGGCACACAGCTGAACCACCATGGCCAGCCGTTCCCTGCCTGCAGGAGGATGTGGTCCCTGAAATGCGGGCACAAACGATGTGTAGCACACCTGAGTCTGGCTCACCAAAACTCACCCTACGCAGTCACCCATGCTCTCCCTTCTGCTGTGACTTCAGAAGTCATTGTTGAAGGCAGCACGGCCACAGGGTGGACAGAGCCTGGGCCCCTAAAGCACTGCTCGAAAGATTCCTCCATTCGGAACAACTATTTTGAACTTCACAGAAGCAAAAAATAAACTTCAGTTGTTTTGAGGAAAGAGATTTTAGGTTTGACTGTTAAAGGAGCTAGTATTGTCTTAATGAATATCCTACCTCCTGTCTGACAAGTCACCTCATTTTCTCCTACACCCCAAATCACAAACTTGCTCTTTCAGTTAAGGTTTCCTCACACACAGTCCTACCTCATGCCTTTGCTTTGTTCATTTAAGGTCAACTGAAATCCCTCCTTTTGCTTTCACTTTGCTTATATAAATCCCAATCCAGGCTAAGCAAGGATCCCCCCACAGAACCTTGTGAACTCTCTTGACATTGCCTTTCCTTACGGTAGGGGGTCACAAGCTCAAACGCCAACAAGAGCCTAGCAATTAACATAAATGAGAGCAGTAGGCCAAGAGCAAACGTTTGTCTAAATGAGATAACTGCTTCTCACTCTGGTGACCAAACTGGAGAAAAACCCAAAAATCTACATCTTATTGCTGTGAAATTTCCCAGGTTTTTGTTACTGGCAATTTAATCTACTTTTAGATTATGGAGCAAACATTAACCATTCTGTAGGCTGGATTTAACTGATGGAATGCTAATTGAAACTACCTTTTAATTAGGGCCACACAGTTCAGGACCACTCCTATTCTTTATTTTACTAGCACCTTCTCTATATGTGTGTTTTGTATATTACCTTGAAATAATCTCCATTTCACTGAAAACATGTTCACTATACCATAATGTGATTTGATGGTTAATATTACATATCAACAGCCTGGGCTATGATGCCAGTTTTTTTGTCAAATACCAGTATAGATGTTGCTATAAAGGTATGTTTTAGATGTAACTAACATTTCAGACTTCTGGTCAAGATGGTGGTGTAGGCAGGCATGGTTTGCCTCCTCCTACAACTTCATCAACTAAATATTACAACTAAAATACAGAGATACCATCACTCAGAACTGTCAGAAATAGAGTTGAATAGAAGTCTGATAACTACAGAATTAAAGAAACCACATCCACCCACATAGGAGGGGTGAAGACGCAGAATACGCCGGTCCCTCACCCACATGTGGTAGATAAAAATTTGGGAGGAATATCTCAGGAGTGAGGAGGCCCAGCCCCATGCAAAGCCCCTCAGTCCAGGGTTCCAGTACCAGGAAGAAAAGTCTCCACAATATCTGGCTGCAAAAACCAGTGGGGATTGAGTTGATAGAAGAAACTGCTGGAGCCCCAAGTGGTTGTCTTAAAGAACCCACACATGGTCTCGGCTACTCAGACTCACTCCCTCTGAGCTCTAGCACTGGGGTAGCAGCTTGAAAGGCACCACTGGCATACAGGGAGGAAATGAAGTAGATGGCATCAAGGCATGCAGAGACTACTGTCCCTTTTCTGAACCCTCCCCCAACAGAGCCAGCAAGCTGGTGCCATATCTGGGACTCCATCAACCTAGCAAATACTGTTTGCCCTGCCCTGAGATCACCTGAGACTCCACCCCAGACAACTTTAGGCCCACCCATGCTGCTTTTCTAGATGAATGGCTGGTCTTTGCTCATGCTTCGTAATTTTCTAAATCCTTTCAAACAAGCAACCAAGGCTCAAGTACAAGAGGAGGGTATACTCAGCCCACATGAAAGGTACACCTGAAGGCGTCAGCTTCAAAAATAGGGGACACTGTGCCATTGGACCCTATAGGACACCTACTACATTAGGACACACTACCAAGAACATGGAGTCAAAGTGGCTCCACCTAATACATAGAAAAGAACACAGGGAGGCTGCCAAAATGAGGAGACAAAGAAACATGGCCCAAATGAAAGAGCAGATTAAAACTCTAGAGAAAAAGCTAAATGAAATGGAGATAAGCAATCTGTCAGAGGCAGAGTTCAAAACACTGGTTAAAAGGATGCTCAAGGAACTTAGTGAGGACATCAAGAGCATAAAAAAGACCCAGTCAGAAATGAAGGATACACTAATTGAAATAAAGAACAATTTACAGGGAAACAACAGTAGAGTAGATGAAACTGAGTATCAAGTCAGTGATTTAAAACATAAGGAAGCAAAAACTGACCAATCAGAACACCAAGAAAAAAAAAAGAATCCAAAATAATGAGGATAGTATAAGCAGCCTCTGGGACAACTTCAGGACATCCAACACTCACATCATAGAGGTGCCAGAGGGAAAAAGGAAGAACAAGAAATTGGAAATCTATTTGAAAAAATAATGAAAGACAACTTCCCTAATTTGGTGAAGGAAATAGACATGCACATCCAGGAAGCACAGAGAGGCCCAATCCAACACACATCATAATTAAAATGCCAAAGGTTAAAGATAAAGAGAGAATTTTAAAAGCAGCAAGAGTCAAGCAGTTAGTTACCTACAGGGAAGTTCCTATTAGACTGTTGGCTGATTTCTCTAAGAAACTTTGCAGGCTAGAAGGAATTGGCAAGAAATACTCAAAGTCATGATAAGCGGAAACCTACAGCCAAGATTGTTCTACTCATCAAAGCTATCATTTAGACTCAAAGGACAGATAAAGAGCTTAACAGGCAAAAAAACAAACAAACAAAAAAACCTTAAAAAGTTCATCATCACCAAACCATTCTCTGAAATTTAAAGGGACTTATATAAGAAAAAGATCAAAACTATGAACAATAAAATCATAATAAAAACTTATCTATCAACAATGGAATCTAAAAATCAAACTAAGCAAACAGGAAGAACAGAGACAGGATCATGGATAGGGAGAGCAGTTGGATGGTTGCCAGATGAGAGGGGGGTGTGAGGGAATGGGTGAAGAGGTGAGGGGATTAAGAAGTACAAATAGGTAGTCACAGAATAGCCATGGGGATGTACAGTTCAGTGTAGGAAATGGAGCAGCCAAAGAACTTATATGTACAACTCGTTGATATGAACAATGTGGGGGGATTGCCTGAGGGAGTGAGGTGGTGCCGGGTGGAGAGGGTGGGAAAGGGGGGAAATCAGGACAACTGTAATAGCATAATCAATAAAATATAATTAATTTTAAAAAAATATTTCAATCAGTACGCTTTGGGTAAAGCAGATTATTCTCCCTAATGTTAGAGGTGGGCCTCATCCAGCCAGTTGAAGGCCTTGTAAGCAAAGACTAATGTTACCTAATACAGTTACCTATATAATCAATTAAGCATTAGTTGTTAAAATATTCTTAGGGAAAATAATTAGAGAAGGTAAAAGGAGAAAAAAATTTCAATGTTAATACCATAGGAACACTGGAAACAAAGTTTAAGAACAGAGATACTGTTGAGATGGCCAAAGGATTTGGCACACTATTATGCAGTGTCATCTGGTTCCTTTGAGCTTGCGAATAAGGTCAAAGACATCAAAAACATCTTTCACAAGAGAAACTCTATCCTTCCCTCTATGTATACTTGACATTTGTTAAAGATATTTTCTTTTTTTAATGTTATTTATTTATTTTTAGAGCAAGGGAAAAGGAGGGAGAAAGAGATGGAGAGAAACATCGAGGTGTGAGGGACATATCGATCAGATGCCTCCTGCACGCCCCTAGTCAGGGACCTGGCCTGTAACCCAAGCATGTGCCCTGACTGGGAATTGAACCAGTGACCTTTCACTCTGCAGGTCGGTTCTCAATCCACTGAGTGACACCAGCCAGGGCTATTTGATATTCTTTCATTTTCTTTTGAATAGAGGTGTTGAAAGAATAAACAGGTATTTCAAAAATACAGATTTTCAACAATTTACACCCTGATTTATAGCCCCATCTTTTTTTTTAAGATTTTATTTATTTACTTTCAGAGAGGGAAGGGAGGGAGAAAGAGAGGAAGAGAGAAACATCAATGTGCAGTTGCTAGGGGCTGTGGCCTGCAACCCAGGCATGTGCCCTGACTGGGAATCGAACCTGCAATGCTTTGGTTTGCAGCCCACGCTCAATCCACTGAGCTACGCCAGCCAGGACTATAGCCCCATCTTGAATGAGCAAGCACGTAACAGGGTTCCTCATAAATAAACTAATATTTTCAACAACAAAATATATATATGCAACATACATAAGGCAACAGCACACCTAATCTGATTATCATGAACACATAAATGGAGATAACAACACTCCCAATTGGTGCTGGCATGCTAACGTGTGGCATTGGTAGCCATGTTCAAATGGCAGTGACATTTGCTGTAAGAGCTCATGCTGCCATGAGACTGCTGGAAAGGTCAAAATCTTCTAACCAATTACCCTAGCCACAAAACAGCCAGGGCCCGTTTGTCAATCAGGTCACCCTGGAAAGGCACCGGAAAGCACTCCGACGGAGCTGGTCAGCGCTAAAGGCCGAGCAGCCAACATGACAGCTCCTCATAGTGTCACTGAAAAACGTTCCCCCCTGAGAGAACTCCCAGTGATCATCGGGAGGGCTGGAAACCGATTACAGCAGCGATGCCACATCACTTCCATAATGAGAGTGGAAATCCCCTGCACAAAACATCCATCTTCATAAGCAACTCAGGCTGAAAATCAGGGGAATAAAAGGCCATGTAAAAAATGTTATCAATTTGATTTTCTGACAAGCCCACTTTACCAAAAAAGATTTATTATTCTTCCCCAAGACATCACCTATATCTTGACCAAGGACTTTACTGCAGCTGAACTAATGGAGATGGAAAATACAATGCTATCCAAATAGAAGCCTGAAAGTGAAGATATTCTTTGGGCCACAGTTCCATGAAGAAACTGTCCAGAATTATTACTCTCCATCTCCAAGTGGTATATTTGACAAAAAAAAACATCTGGGGCACCTGCAATGATCAATTCATGACCTGCTACATTCTATAAATCAGGTTCTTTAAATCCTAGCTACAACTGTTTGAGAATATAAATAACTTTATCTGGACTTTAGAGCATACATACTGTGGTATCTCCAGGCCAAGTTTCAAATGTAAGCTAAGATCTTCAAAACACAGGACTGATAGAAATTTTTAGAGAAACACAAAAGATCATACAATCAAATTGTAAATCTTCAGAAATATCTAAATATCTAAATGCCAGGCCTAACATGAGATAAGCAAATTTCTCATTTTAAAGTCAACCTACCCTCTGTGCCGTACACTTTGCTTTTTCGAGCCCTTCTAGCGCTGGTCATGTTTTTCAATGCTTGTTTAAAAAAAAAAAAAAAGACTTCCTGGAAAACAGTGAAGTGCAGGAATCATCTGAACTTGGGTTCAAATCCCAACTTCCAAGCTTTCCAGCCATGGGACCCTGAGCTGCTTACCCCACTCCAAGTTGGGGTGTCTTCATAGGGAGATAAACCCATCTCCCTTAGTAAGAATTGAATGAGAATGTATGGAAAGCACTTCATCAGAAACCAGCCCACAAAGGGGCTGAAATCATAGAAGTCCACTGTATATTTAAAGCCAAGGTGGCAACCCCATTTTTGAACAGTAAATAGACCAAGTATTAAATACAAAGCTGACCAAGTCTCCCAGATAAACATAATTCTTCTTAACAAAAAACTTCCAGAAATAGTAGCTTGACTTTCACTGTCCAGGCATAGATTATTCTAACAGTAGACTTCAAGCCAAATGACAAAGGAGGAATTTGATGATGCGAGCTGATGAGGGAGATATTTAAGAGGCTGCATGTCTTTTTAAATGGCACCACAGCTGTGACTATCCTGAGTTTGTGTGAATACCTGAAACAGGTAACCTATTAGGAGGGCAAAGTAGCTTCTTTCTAATATTGTACTTTGGTGACTGGCAGTCAGTAAGAGAAGGCTCATTTCAATACCATCTACTGCACACAATTTCTAGAAGCTCTTATTTTAAAATTAGAAGACCCCTGAAAAAGCTATGACTAAAAATCATCTGTGCCTTACTATAGTCTTAATCAGATAACTTCCCTTCCTAGTATCCCAAACAGAGCTGGAGGATTAGAAGTTTTGATTCAGTATAAAAAGTTGACTGGCCAGGTAGCTCAGTTGGTTAGAATGTCATCTCGTTATGCCAAGGTTGAGGGCTGAATCCCCGGTCAGGGCACATACAAGAATCAACCAAAAAATGCATAAATAAGTGGAAGAACAAATCAATGTTTCTCTCTCCCTCTCCCTCTCCATTCTCCCCCCTCCTTTCCTTTCTCTAAAATCAATAAATAAAAACTTTAGGAAAAAAGTTGATCATGGGGAACATAGTTCAGCTTGGATGGGACACCAACTTTGAACAAAGAAACCAGAAAAGAAGAAACTGGATACCTGAAGGACCTGAAAAGCAAAAGGAATACAGTACACAACACAGGCAAAAACAAACAAACAAACAAACAAACAAACAAACAAAAAACCCCTGCAAATCTGCCTAGAATTCACTTTACTTCATGAAGTCACTAAAAGCCATTTTCCATACTTGGCCTCCAAGAAAAGTCACCATCTAGGATAATAGGTAGCTATCCCCGTGAATACACGTATATGATTCAACTAGTGGGATTTTCACACGGTACCATTGCTTTCACCTTCCATCCTTTTACTAGACTGTGAACTCCTTGGAGACAGAAGCCATGTCTTACATTTGTGTCCTCACCCCCAGGAACCCACTAGAAATCCACTAAGTACTGGCTGATCGACAGAGCATGGAATGTCGTGAAAACAAGCAGTTATCCTGATCTATCTTTGCCACTATTTAATCAAAAATATCTTTCTAGAAAAATTTTTATTGTTAGTTCAATTTTTTAGCAACCAATAGGGAGAAATCAGAGAGGATTATGAATTAAGAATGACTTCATAATGAGTGAGAAAATCATTCTCATTCATGAGAATGCACTTTTGAGGTCTCTATTATTTAAACTAGACCTGACAGATCAACTACAGGGCGTGTCCGCCGACACTAACCAGAGCTCAGACAAAGGGCATACCTTCCACGCAGCGACAGCCCTCCTGCAGCACCCGAGCATACATGTCCACCTTGGACTGAGAAAGGAGCTGGTCCCCAGTCAGGTACGTGTTGTGAGAGGAAGCGATGTAGTAGTTGCACAGGGGCTGGTCCATGTCCTGGTACACTTCGTTGTGCAACGGGTTAAAGACGTCGCAAGCAGGACTTCGCATGAAGTTTGTGAAGCCTTTGGGAGAAAGAGTGAAGCACTAGAGCTTTAAAGCCTATGTACTTAATTGATTGTAACAAGGACAAACAGAGATCCAAGTATGTTGACAGGGATTATCTTAGTTACCCTCGGGACAGCTTTGGCAGGGAACACAGTGTGGGGGGCAGTGAGGGGGGGTGGCAATGAGACAATTTGTAGCAAGTCAAGTAGAGTGTCAAGAGCTTAAATATGACTTTGGGGAGAAGCAGTTTAAACATAACCTACAGAAAATGGGACTTGTTAATAATTTTGGTTGTGTGGGGGAGGGTTTCTTGCAAAGCCATTCAGTAACTACGGAGTCCAAGCTAGGACTACGCAGTGTGACTGAATCGGTAACTGGGGTAACATGAAAGCATCATTTACACTAAGTGGTACAATAATGCATCAATGATTTCACAGGTTATTAAGTTGATTTGAAAAACAGTATTGTTAGTGCCATGGTTGAGGCAGCAGACCAAAAGTTAGGCACAGCCCAAATCCAGGGTGTGATTGTTTGACTATGAAGTTGGCTTTGGAAAGATGCTGCTAGTTGCCAGCACATTTACTAGCTAGGAAGTAGTGCTTATCAATAATATAGAAGAACCTATCAGTTTTTCTATAGTCTTTCAAAATGCATTGTCTAGGTAGAAAAGGCACTCATTAACATATAAATAAATACATGAATGACTCACAAGTACCTAAATGGAATGGTTTTTGGGGTAAACTGCTTCAAGTCTTCAAGAATCCTGTGGTAAAGCTGTATCTGAAAATATCCCCTGAGACACTGGAGAATTTCTTCATGCCCTTCTTTACGGCCAAAACTTAGAAATCATGTCAAATTCCATCTTTGAGGTCCGCACCAAGGAAAAGACTCATTTTTTAGTATGGTCCAAATTTGTTTACTTTTTTTTTCTGGCTGTTTTTAAAAATGGTTTTTGATCATATAAATTTTAAGTCATTCCTTTCCATTTTTAATTACCCTCTCCCCCCAGGAAGTGAGCACAGGGTATCAGACCCCCGTCGTCGGCACTGGGAGACGTGAGCCTGGGAGCAGGGGAAAAGAGGCCAACGGTCAAAAAGGGCGAGACGAACTGCGGCTTTGCAGCTCAGCGGCAGTGGCTGGCCCCGTGGTCTTTCACTAAGAATATCTCCTCTTAGGTAGAAGCCGACAATTTACTTCTCTCTATATTTTAAATACGTGTAACTTAGACACACATGTAGTTATATTTGTATCATATTATTTATATATAAGACCCTATGATCTAGATTCTGAGTCTATATCTGTGGGGAAACTAATTTCTCTGAGCCTCACTTTTCTCAGTTCGGGACAATTGCATTAAAAAGACGTGTGGCTCCCCAACCAACCTCTCCACTGCTCCCAGCGAGGTGAAACTAGTTCATTGCCAACATTTTTTAAGAAACATGTTTACTTTTAAGTCATTGGTTAAGTCATTGGTTTCACAGATTACTTATTTTAGGATCACATCTCCTTTCATAAAATTAACGAGTTGAGGCTATTTCCAAAAATTAGCTATTTGAGAAAAGTCCAAATATTTCTTAATATTTTTCATACATAGTGGCTTCAAGTTGAATTGCCGGGAGTAGAAAACGTGGGTCGTCATTGCAAAAGCAAGAGACGTGGCAGTATCACTGCATCTGCTTTGGAGGAAACCAGGTATTGGAATCGTCAGTAATTCCAGAGATACCTCTGATTTCTTTTCCTAAAAATTTTGATAGAATTTAACTTAGTGAACTGAATTGAGGAATGAGAAATTAAGAATATTGGTTATTTTACCTTCTATGCCAAGAACATTTTTCGCCTTATTTTCTTCTGAAACTTCAAATTTCCTTATGATGTCAAGACAATAGTCTGCTGTCACATTAGTCATCTAAACAAAACAGAACATAAGTAGAGTATCTGAAATTTCATGAAATATGTTTCTCTATGTGAGAAAATCATACGAATTTTTTTAGCATTCTTGATATAGTGCCAAGTGGTTAAATGAACGGCATTTGAGGTTACTCGTGCCTTTGAAAAATCATCATGACCTCAATCTTCCTTACATCCTTCAGATTTTAATCAGTGAAAACAGCCCTTCAACTACTAGAAAAATGTTCTCTGTAGAGCAATAAAATTAATTAAATAGAATTAATAATCAATGCAAATCCATTGCCAAAAATACACTCACTGTAAGCTAGTAGCAATTTGCTAAAGTATCTTCTACACAAATACTGAAGTTTGCTAGTGATAAATATATGTTGAAAAAAATTATTCTTTACCAAAACAGCATGGTGTAGATAAATCTAAATGGGTGCATGTGTGTATCTTATCGATCCTTCTATTGAATCATGAGAGCAGTCTGTCACTCCTATTCAAGAACACAAATGTTAGCAAAGAAAAAAAAAAAGGTCAACAAAAAGCAAGCTCAAGATCAGACAGCTAGCATAATGGAGAACTCTGGATGGCTTGTGTTCAAATCAGCTAGTTCATATTATTGACAGTGTGATCTTAAATGAGCCACTTACTTTCTCTGTGGCTGCCTTACTTATAGGGTACTTGCGAGGATTCAATGCATTACTATTCCTAAGAACAATGTGATACAACAAAGGCAGGAAGTCAGCCTCAAGGTTCCTGAATGAACGTTACATACTTAGTGTCACAGGGAAAAGTAAACTCTTCAGGAATAATTTCTTTAATTAAGAAGCAACATAAAGGATCAAAATCCATTGAGGCCCACAGCTTAACAGTGACATTTAGAATACTAATGAGTAGTGACAGAGGAAGTTAATCTTGTGAGCCAGTATTTTATAATTCAGTGACACTTCTCAAAAATTATATTATCTCAGGCTCAATACTTATAATTTAGTAAAATCTAATTTTCCCAAACAGCCTTTTTAATAACATTTAAACTTTTTTTTTTCAGGGGGAAAAAGGCTCCACTGTACAGCATTTTTTCTTTCTTTTCTTTTTGTTTGGCCTGTTTCAAGGGGCCCAGAATGCTTCCCCGTCTCACCCCACCCCCAACCAGCTGCATAATAGCTCATCCATCCTTCGTGTAAAATTTATCTTGCATACTTTATTCAGATGCCTACATAACCAGACACCACCTGAAATACCATAAATAATGAAAGTCTGCAAGGAACTCCACAGGCCCAATTAGGCTTTGAGCAGCTCACCTGCTGTTTGCTATAAGCTAAACAGATTCATCACATGGGGTCCAAAAGATAAATAATCTCTCACAAGCTAAAAACTCTGAGCTACATTGCTATTATTCGGTTTATGCGGCCATTTATTCAGAGATGTAGGGACCTTGAACTAGACTCAGGTAGTTGGTCTACCAGTAGCACATGAGATCTATAAAAATAAAAATAACAATAAAAACACACAAATAAACAACAAGAAACAGTCATCCTGGGATGGAACTAATTGCAGATAAGCAAAAACATGTTACTAGTTCAAGACACAAAGCAGAATGTGCCAACAAAAAGCATCATATTTGAAAAGTATAAAATTGGCAAAAATATTAGTAGGGATTCTAGGAAGCTCACAATTTTCTGGGTGCCATAAAAGAATTAATGGGATAGAATCCACTTTCTACCCCAAATTCAAGTATTTAATAAAACACAGTAAAACCTCACAATATGAGAATTGAAATATAAGAGTCAATCAGCTCCTATCCTTCCCCATTCCTGTTCTCATATAATTAATCTCCCAATACTACAATTCCGCATTTTACAGTTAAATTTTTAGACCTCACTTTAAAAGTTACTGTATCTTGTTGTGTATAATGTGCACTTTCTTGCCCAAATTTTTTAGGGAAAAACAAGGATGCGTATTATATGGGTATATTAATGGGTATAATAATCCCACGTATATTGTACACAAAATGTGGGTATGCAGTATATGCAGCAAAATATGGTATATTGGGGTTTTACTGTATAAATGAAGGTTCAGTACAGATTAATGCTCCTTCTTGTCCATTTTTCCCATATTTTGCTTCCCCTTTAAGATAGCTGGTAAGGCGAAATAGGAACGCTTCCCCCCTACTTCCCACGGAGTTCATGTTCAAGTTTTGTTTGCTGTCAATATCTGAGCCACTCCTGTCTCCGATACCAAAGATTGTTCTTACTATACAAGGCTATCGTCCCTAAAAGAACTTAAGGAAAATTTCATTTATTTTAACAATGATTATTTACATTTATACAACGCAGTCAATATTATGTAGTTTATAAAGAGTTTTTACACCCATAATCTTAAATAGTTCCTAAAACAGTCTGGTAAAGTTAAGTGTTTCTACCCCATCACACAGGTGGGAAAACATGCAGAGAAAGTCTATCCCAACCAAAGTCACAAAATCAGTAAGAGGTAAAACCAAGGCTCAAATTTCAAACTTCTGACTTCAAATTCAAGCCCTTTATGTTACATCTATTCTCTGGGAGTTTTTATTTCTACTGAAAAATTGAAATGCTTACTCTGAAACTATTTTTTCAATGTAGCTGAAATTCCTCAATCTTAATTTCTTAACTTTTGCAATGTTTTGCAACTTTAAAATCAGTTACTATAATTCTATTTCTTTGGATTATTCCAAATTGAACTCCATTCTCTTTTCCTTGTTTACTATAGTTCTATAATGTCATCTAAAGAGAAAAGAGTAATTAACTAGTCCTCATGTTACATACTCAGTATCAATCCACTTCCAATGAACTAGATGTAGAAACCAAAGGCATGAATCTGTCAAATACTTGTATTGTGACACTAACTCTTTATCCCCAGACTTCTTTGCAAGTTTTCTGGCAAAGCTTTTTCAGAGAATGCAAATTTCAAAACAAAGTTAGAGGGAGTAAATAATCACATTTCTTACATACCAAACACAAAAATCATAATATAATTTGCACAGAATTTTAATATTGCTAAATTCTTTTCAATGTTTTTATCAAACTAACATATCTATAAATTAACCCAAAACTAAGATTCTTAGACTAAGGAGAACCACCCTCCCAATGCCCAGAACCACATTCCAAATGTAAAAATACCATAATTTCTAGCGATTTCTTCTGGAATGAGTCTTTCTACTCCTAATATATTCTTAATAATTATGTAAATGATGTTCTTTCCTATTCTATATACTTTAAACATTACTTATTACTCTTTTATGTGTTAGATAAAGACATAGCTCTTTGGGGCCAGCAAAACTTTCTCCCTCTATCCATCCTGCCAGTAAGATTTTATCATAATTTTTATTATATTTCTATTCACTGTTGTAAACTGTTTTGTCTATACAAACATTGAGCACTGAACCTGCTATATAATATGATTGCTTATTTTCTCATAGAATACCTTTTTCTGATTTAACCATTTGGTTGATGTTTAATGACCCTGTCACAATCTTTGGCATTGCAAAATTTTGCTATGATTTGTCTCTGTGTGAGTCTTTTTTTTTTTTTTTCCTCACATTCACTGTGCTTGGTACTCAGTGAGCCCTGCCTGTCTAGAGTCCTATCTCTTGCTGTTAATCATTTTTTGATACTATTTACTTAATAATTTCCTCCCTTCTATTTCCTATCTTTTTCTATAACTTATTATTCAGATCATGGACCTTCTGGATCAGTCTACTAATGTCTTGATCTTTTCTCACTATTTTCCATTTCTTTGTTGTTTGTTCTACTTTCTAGACAATTTTCTCAACTGTAGGTTCTAAGCTACTTATTAAGCTTAGTTTCCTGCTCTTTTCTTCCTCTGAATCTTTTCTCGTAGCACCTTGCTCTTGCTTGGTGGCTATAATTTTATCATTCTGATGTATTAATATCTATTTAAAAATTTTTCTTCCCCTGCATTGCCTCTATTTCCTCCAAGTTTTATGATCCCATTTGCTTGCCTGAGTGTCTGCACTTTATAGTAGAGAATTTCCTCAAACATGTTGTAGGCCTCAGCTATTTAAAACCCATTTTTAGAATTGATTATTTAAAACCATGGCAATACAAAATTGGTTGGAAGCTCTCTATTCACGAACAGAACTTATTACCTAGTGGGCTTCACTGTGGAAATCTCTGGCCAGACTGCTTTGCTAGGAGACTTTTGATGTAAATGTCTGTAGGGTTTTTCTCCTTGAATTGGTGTGTTAGTTTCCTAGAGCTGCTGTAACAAATCACCACAAACTAGAGCAGTGGTTTAAAAGAGCAGAAACTTATCCTCTCTCAAAGCAAAGCGGAAAAGGGGGCACAATGGATAGAACCACCACCAAGGCAGCATTCACAGGTTTGTGTCAGGTAGACGAAGTTCCAGTAGGAAGAGGGCCCTAGAGCATGGCATCGGAAAAGCTCTGAGAGTTCCCCTGGAATTGACCATCCCCAAGCATATTTCAGCAGAAAGCGCTGCAGGAATAGAAATCTGCTTTGTCTTATCTGTGGAGACAGTCTTTGCTCTTAATTAATAGCTAGGAGGTTTCTCAAACTCTAAGAGTGCTTCAATACTTCTGTCTAATCCCATTCCAAAATATAACCAGGAAATACTCTGACAACCTGTGGACCCTATTTAAAGCAACCTTTAGGCAAAAAACCTACTTCAGACAAACCATTCATGCTGTGTTGTCTGCCTAACCAGCATGAACTGATTTCACAAAGGCCGTGACAGCATTAGGTAAGTAATAAAGTATGTGTTTTATTTCTTCGGAAGGAATTGGGTGGATTAACCCAAAATGAAGAGGTGGGAGATGGAAATGCTTGAAATAATGTAAATAATTATAGTTCACAGAAAATACTATATACTGTTTGAAATAAAATTAAGAAATATTGATAGAAAAAGAAATAAAAATGTCTATCTTTTCTTCATCTCTCCTTAATCCTTAAGAAAAAAAAGAGTAAAAAGAAAAAAACAAAACAGTAGAGACTTGATAAGAAAAGTTGTCAAGAAGGATGGGGGAATTCAATCAAATGATCTCTTCTGAACCAAAAATCTCAAAAGGACTGAACACAAAACACATGCAGCCCCAGGGCCAAGTAATGGGTAGGAATCTAGAGGAGAGATAGGCTGTGTTTCAGCAAACACCAGGGGGAAAACATGAAACAAGAACCTCCAACAGCCCTATTCCTGTGGACCCACAGATGGGTGGATGTCCCAGATCAGTGTGTGCGAATGTGAGGGAAGCTTTAGCCTTGTGGCTTCTTGTTTAACTGGCACTTCTTCAAGGACATAAAAGGGTGATAATTTTCCTAAATACATGCATATTTTAAGGATGAAAGTCCTAATCAAACAGCACTTGGACCTCTCAAAGTCATAAACACAATTTTCAGCGATCTTCAGTGAAATGAAAATCTGACCCAGATGAAATATACAAATTACCATTCATTGCTTCGTGGAAAAATACGCATATCCATACTCAACATTTTTAAGGTAAAAAAATATGTATCTTCTGCCCTGGCTGGTGTAGCTCTGTGGATTGAGTGTGGGCTATGAACCAAAGGGTCACCAGTTCAATTCCCTGTCAGGGCACATGCCTGGGTTACAAGCCAGGTCCCCAGTGGGGGCCACATGAGAAGCAACTACACATTGATCTTTCTATCTCTCTTTCTCCCTCCCTTCCCCTCTGTCTAAAAATAAATAAATAAAATCTTTTTTAAAAAGTGTTCAGACTTTTGGCTAAATGCCTCTTTAAAAAAAAATTACATATCTTCTATTTATCATTCTCTCTTTTAAAAAAAACTTCTATAAACATGTTTTAAACTACACATTGATAAGATTTTTTTGAAATTGTGGTTTCCACTTCTACCCTAAATTTAAACTACATCCAATCCCAGGAGCAACCCATGTATCTTTCACAAGTACTTTTACATAAACATTCAGCTTCATGGTCTAATAATACCTTTTGTTCCACCTTCAAAAACTGAGCCAGCTCTTCCACAGTTAGGTGATCTTTCTTGTCACTGTAGCTCAAGAGCAGCAAATAAAGGTCTCGTCTCAAGGACATCATTTTGTAAAAAACACAGAACTCTTCAAATGTCAAAGTTCCCTGATTCTCATCTGTATCAGCTTCCTGAAAGAGGCACATTAAACACAGGGTAGTGAGAGAGTCTGAAATAGGAAATTCAGTCCTGACTCGGTACCGGCAGATAATGTTTACTATAAAGAGGACAGTATACATTTCACAAGTGGTAAGCACATGTGAGCCAATTTCAAATCGGCTACATATGAGGCCACAAAGACTCAAGCTTATGAAAACTAATCTATCTCATCACAGTAAATCCATAAATTAACAAAGAAAGCTGGAAAAAAAAACTGTCTGGAAACAACACTATACATTTCTAAATAAGAAATGAAACATATAGAAATGAACACATTCACCACGTATTAAAATCAGTGTGATGAACTTAAAGTAATAATTAGAGGAAACTTGAAGTTTTCAATTTACTTGAAAACAAGGTAGATTAAAATCAAAGAAGTTAATAACGTTGAATCTACTATCTAGAAAAAATTAAGCTAAAGAAAATAGAAGGAAAAAAATATTTTAAAAAAACAGAAAGCAATGAAATAGAAAACAAATGGATATAACATACCAAAGGTGAATGATTAAATCAAAAACTGGCCCTGGCTGTTGTGGCTCAGTGGATTGAGCACCGGCCTGCGAATCAAAGTGTCGCCGGTTCAATTCCCAATCAGGGCGCATGCCTGGGTTGCGGGCAGGTTCCCAGTAGTGGGGTATGCAAGAGACAACCGCACATTGATACTTCTCTCCCTCACTTTCTCCCTCCCCTGCCCTCTCTCTAAAAATAAATGGGTATATCTGTTTTTAAAAACCTGATCTTTTGAAGAAACTAATAAAAAAGACAAACACTTGGAGAAGACTAATAAAAAACAAAAGAGAGAGGATCTATTTAACACATGACAAAAATACCAGTCTCTCATCACCTTCTGAACTGCACTCCAATCACATCAGTTTCTACCTACAACAGAATCTCTCTGTTGATTCTGCGCAGGCAGCTCAGTGCCCTTGCGGCCATCAGCATCAGTGGTACCTCCCTTCATTTCCTCACAGAAGTTTGAAAATTCCATCTGCACTGATCTGTAGTTCAAATTATTTGTTTCTAGCAATTATTGAGCAAGAATCTTTCATCACATATCTCCCTTCTGACTGTTTGGGTTCATCATAAAACCCTAAAACTGTTGGAAATATATTATGGACAACAAACCCATTTATATGCTCTTCTTTATTCTAACTGTACACAGCTGTAACTGAACAAAAACTGACAAGGAATCAATGACATTTTGAAATGTGTGGATTTTACAAAGTATAGCCAGCTGTTATATGATTTTAAACATAGATTTTAAAGTCAAAATGAATATAAATATCTTTGAGAAATTATGAATGTGTAAGTTTAGAAAGCCTTTTTCCTTGATGAAACAAAATACCTCTCTTTATCAAAGTAAAATAAAGCAATACACAGTTGATAATATTAGCTTCCAACAAAACAAAATAGCCTTTTGAAGTTTCTAAGTACATATACCAACAACTATTAATGTGGACTTCGCCTAAGGCCGACCTGATTGTGAAAACATACCTGAAACATTTGTCTGACTTTTCTTCGGGGTAAGTTGACATTTAGTTTATGCATCAGTTGGTGTATCTCTTCAATATTCAATAAGCCGTCTCCATTCTTATCAGCTTCCTCAAAGGTCTGTTTCACCCACGTGCAGAAACGTCAAGAAAAACACTTGTATTTTCACAAAATAAAGACTGCTCTTTCCCAGAATACTCACAAGGAAATGTATCAACAACACTGAACTTGAGAAGAAATTCCTTGGAGGCGGCCCTGCAATCCACAGGCTCTTGGTGAGCTGCAACAGTGACGGCAGAAGGGGGGGTGGAGGGGTAGTGGGGGAGGGGGGCACAAACAGGTGAATCCTTTTACTGTGAAAGGAGCCAAACCATGTTATTTAAAGAGGTTCTTCAACTCCAACATCATTGTCCAATCTGTTAAAGGATCTCTCTGATGCGATGAAACCCCAAGCATTCCAAATTTAGGCCTGCCTTCTCCCTCTGTGACCTTTCATCCAGTATTCTTTTCACCTTCACAATACCCCATGCCACACGGTCTTTTCAATTCCCTCTCCTCAGTTCCACACCCACATTGAGAAGTTTAGACTATTGAGTTCAATCTCTTTACTGTTCACAGGAGGGTATAAACTGAAGAGGGAGAAGTTTGGGAAGATTAGTAAGGAACCCAGGTCTCACGTGACTTAGCCCAGCACTCACCTCTCCTTCACAGAAGGCCTTTGAAGGTTCTCACTTAATAGCCTGAAACTTCTAGATCAAGGGCAGTAATGTGAACTACAGGCCTGATATGCCAGAAATTGCCCTCAAAGCTCAGGTTTGGACGTAGGCGATGTGCAACTATGAAGCTGAGTTTGTATACAAAGGATTTACATCATGTGAACTGAGATTTTAAAAGACCCCCCCAGGAGGATAAGTATTGCATTGTTTTACATAGTGGAGAAGCAGAATAAATGTTAGCAAGTGGATGAGTTGAAAATTCCAAGTTTAAGGAAAGCATTTTTAACAATGGATGATTCATAGTTGTTGGGAAATAAATTACAGAAACAGGAGTTGTGTGTGCACCTAAAAAACCAAACTGAGCTTCAAAACTTGAAGGGTGATGAAGAGAAAAGAAATGAAGGTGATGCAAAGAAAGCAGAGAATCAAAGAAAGCAAAAGGCACAGGCTTACAACCAAGACATGGAAGAACGGGAGCAGGTCAGAGGAAAGGGTCAGTGTTTGCGTATCAAGCAGGTACCATCAAACTGGGAGACTTTCATTTTAAGTCAAAATATTAACTGATCTCCCAGTGGCAACAGCACATTTACCTTTCTTAAATGATTCAATTTATGACTGTAGGAAATTGTACCTTATAAGGTAAAAACAAGACAGTTAGTCTTATGTCTTCTAAAGTTAAATAGAGGTGATTTTCAGATGGTAAATGAATACCTTGTTTCACATTATGTTCTCTTTATAACACTCGAAAATAACCCGCCCAGTTCTTTCAAGTTCAGTGTTTCCTCACATAGTTCGGGCAGGACCTCATCATACATGACACCTGGAAGGTAAAGGGGGACCCAGGACTCAGAAGAATCCAAAGAGTAGAACATTTGGGCCAATTACTAATAAGTAACTAAATCTCACTTTTTAAAATCTTTTCTGGGCATGCCACACCCATTCCATGAGCTCCATTTCTTTTGACTGTGGCTAATGCTCTGTGGCCCCTACAATATTGAGCCAGAGTTCAAAGACATGATGAAGTATGACCAATGGCAGCAATGTTCTCACCCTTTGATTCTACAGCTCTTTACCAAAGCCTGTCAAAGACTCCTCCAGAGAAGAGGCAGGGAAGAGCAGACCCCATTATGAATAATCTGCAGACACAACCCTTTTGAGGGCGGGCCTGTGTCTGCAAGGCCTTTAGTGTCAGCACACAAGTTGACCTTGAGTTTAGGGAATACAGAACCGGTGAGACAGAAACAGAGAGAGAGTCAGACCAAGAAACACACACGAGTTCTGATACTATGCTGACCAGGCCCTGTGACCATGACTCACTTATGTCACTTCTTGGGGCTTCCATTTCTTCATCTATAATGTCAGTGAGCTCAACTAGATGACTTTGAAGCCCCTTTCAACTCTAAGATTCTCTGAAAGGAAAACCATGCTCTCCGGTAACAGTACACATGGTATAAGATACAATCACAGGTTAAAGTGTTCAGATATCTCAAGTTGTTCTTCACAATTAAGACATGAGTGCCAGGAAAGCCCTGAATTAATCATTTTTAGCAATATACAGAGAAATTTAAGAATAGAAATAGTTATGCTGCAAAGAAAAACTTAGAAATTAAGAAATGAATGCAAAACATGGCCTAGAATTGTCTATCAAGCCATTATAGGAGAATGTAAATCACTGAAAAATATTTAGATGGGGTGGGGAAACTTTGGGGGTAAAAGGCCATAGTAAATATTTCAGGCTTGGAAGGCCATGTGGTCTCAACTGCAACTATCCATTTTTAAATAGAAGCAGCCGCAGACAATACATAAATGAATTGGCATGGCTGTGTTCCAATAAAACTTTATTTGTGGACATGGATATTTGGATTTCATACACTGTTAGGTCATACCACATTCTTCATATGATTTTTTTTCAACCATTGAAAACCCATATTTAGCTCAGGAGCCCATATAAAAATAGATGTGTGCCAAATTTGCCCTGCAGGCTTTAGTTTTCAGGGCCCCTCCTTCACAGGGAAGGTGCAAGCCCTCAGTTTACAGCGTCCATAAGGGACTGACTGCCTACAGTCTTCCACTGGTCCTTTCCCTCGTGGTAAGGTGGGGCAATGATGAAGGAGAATGATCTGATGAAGAAAAATGTGGAGACTGGTGCCCTTGTCATCATTTTTACATCCTGGGCTGCTGAGATTTCAGACCGGAATTTATCGAATAGGACAACAAAAGATTTTCCTATCCGTACCTCTCTTAAGCAATAACAACATAGCTCTTATTTATAAAGTGCTTGATACATGCTAGACAGTGTTCTAGGTGCTTTGTGCACCCCAGCTCAATTGATCTTCGCACATCTACACGGTCGGCATTATCCTTAACATCATTGCCATGTTACAGATGAAGACTCGGAGGCTAAAGAATTTACATAACTAACCCAAAGTTACACACAGCAGAGCCTGGGGCTGGAACCCAGCACCAGTCTGAGTCTTTAACCACAACACTATATTGCTTCTAATATTAATAGATATGAATACTGCATCTACCTCCAATTCAACATGTTCATACTGCAGAAATAGCTTGATACACTTTACACTGGGTGGATTTTTTTTAATACAGCCATTTAAGATTCATTATTCTCATTATTCGTTCACAGTTGAAGCTTTCAGGCCTAATTGAAATGTAATAATCATGAACATTCCAAATCTGTTCTCCCAGTTAATGTAATTAAATGTATGTCCAATTAAGAATGTCATGCTATTATTAAGATATTTAAAAACCTATCAGATTATGACAAATCTGTATGAAAACCTTTCTCTAACTCAAATTACATTCCTTATTTTTTTTTAGAGATTTTATTTATTCATTTTTAGAGAGAGGGGAAGAGGAGGGGAGAGAGGGAGAGAAATATCAATGTGTGGTTGCCACTCACGCGCCCCATACTGGGGACCTGGCCAGCAACCAAGGCATGTGCCCTGACTGGGAATCAAACTGGTGACTCTTTAGTTTGTAGCCCGTGCTCAATCCACTGAGCTATACCAGTCGGGGCTACATTCCCTATTTTTAACATCAGCTTCCTTGTTATCATTCATTAATTTCCTCTCTCTTTTTCTCTCCTCACTCGAATATCAGCTACTTCTGTATTTTGTAACTGTTCTTCTGTGCAGTTCTGGAGTATACTTTCTTTCCAGGTTGTATATTTGCAGAATGGGTTAGCAATGGGTTAATTGAAATATGAAATTTTTCTCCTGCCAGTAAACATGGACAAACAAATCAGGTTCAAAAAACTATTGCATAAGCTGGTATAAATTCAAATTAGAGTGTTATAAATTTAGGATGTTAACTGTAATCCCCATGATAACCATAGGACATGGGCAAAAGAAAATGAGAAACAATTTAAACACTTAACTGCAAAAAAAATCACCAAAGACAAAAGCAACTGAAGAATGCAAAAAATGAGGGACCAAAAAGCTATAAGGCACACAGAAAAGAAATAGCACAATGACAGAAGTTCCTCCTTATCAGTAATTACTTCAAATGTAAATGGACCGAACTCTTCAATCAAAAGACAGACTGGCATGGGTAGAAACACATGACCCAATTATATGTTGTGTATAAAAGATGCCCTTGAGATTCAGAGACAGACTGAAAATGAAAAGATGGGGGGGGGAGACTTTCTTCATAAATAGTAACCAAAAGAGAGCAGTGGTGGCTACAGTAATGACAAAAGGTTATAAGAATTAAACAAGGACATGATATATTCATAGAAGTTTTAACACAGCAAAAAGATATAAGAATTATAGACATGTATTTAATGACAGACCATCAAAATATATGAAGCAAAAATGGTAAAATTGAAAAAAAGAAATGGTTCTCAATACCCTACTCACAATAATGAACAGAACAACCAGGTAGAAGATAAGGAAAGAAACAGAGGACTTCAACACACAATAAGCCACCTAGAGCTCACAGACACACACACAACATCTGTACAACAGTAACAATATACAAACTCTACTCAAGTGCACATGGGACACTTTCCACAATAGACCAGACTTTAGGACACAATTTAAGTCTTTAGATTTTAAAAGATAGATATCATACAAAGCATCTTTTCTGAACACAGTGGGATAAAGTTAGAATCAGTATAAAAGGAAATCTGACCAAAATACCCCCACAAAATTATGGAACTTAAATAACGCACTCTTAAACAACCAAGAGATCAAAGCAGAAATCACAGGGGAAATTAGAAAATACTTACAGAGCAATAAAAATACAATATATCAAAACCTATGACAATACAGTGAAAGTACTGTGAAGGGGGAAATTTATAGCTATATATGATTTCACTACAAAACAAAAAAGATCTCTAACAACAACCTAACTTTACAGCCTAAAGAACTAGGGGGGGGAAAAACTAACTAAGCCCAAAACTAGCAGAAGGGAGGAAATAAGAAGGGTTAGTACAAAGATAAATGAAATAGAGAATAGAAAAACAATAGAAAAAAATCAATGAAACCAAAAGTTGGTTCTTAAAAAAGATCAACAAAATTGGCAAACCTTAAACTAAATGGTGTAAGAAAAAATAGAGCAGACTCAAATTATTAAAATCAGAAATGAAAATAGGAACATTACTACTAATTCTACAGAAATAAAAAATATAAGAGTACCATGAATAATCATACACCAATGAGATCTACCATATATAATCACAAAAAAATAAAAAATAAAAATAGATCTATAAATAGTATGGAGATTGAACCAATAATCAAAAAACCTCTCAGCAAATAAAAGCCCTGGACTTGATGGTTTCACTGGTGAATTCTACCAAACATTTAAAAAATTAATACCAACATTCTTATTTTTCCTAAAAATTGAAGAGAAGGTAACACTTCCTAACTCATTCTGTGAGGCCAGCATTACTCTGATACCAAAACCAGACAAGACACTACGAGAAAACTACAGAGCCATTTCTCTTATTATTGTTGATTTTTAAAAAACTCAGCAAAATACCAGCAAATAAATTCTGCAGCACAGTAAAAGGATTATACACCATGAGTAGGTGGGATTTATTCCTGGGATACAAGGATGATTCAACAAGCAAGAATCCATCTATATAATATACCAGATCAATATAATAAAGAAGAAAAATCTCAATTGATGCAGAAAACTTTGTCTATTTGACAAAATTCAACACCCTTCATGATAAAAAACACTCAACAAAATAGGAATTAAAAAGTACTTCAACATAATAAAGCCATATATGAAAAACCCACAACAAATATCATATTTAATAGTGAAGAATGAAAGCTTATCCTCTAAGATCAGGAACAAGGCAAGGATGTCTGCTTTCACTATTTCTATTCAACATAGTACTGGACATTCTAGCCAGAGAAATTAAGCAAGAAAAATAAATTTTAAAAGTATCTAAATCACTAAGCAAGAAATAAAATTATCTTTGTTTGCAGATGATATAATCTTTTATGTAGTAAACCCCAAAGAGTCCAGAAAAGGAAAGGGTGTTAAAGCTTTTTAATACAAGAATTTAGCAGAGTACCAAAATACAAAGTCAACATACAAATCAGTTGTATTTCCACATGCATTTAGAAAAGTAAATTATAAAAACAATTCCATTTACAATAGCATTAAAAAGAATAAAATACAGAAGAATTAACCAAGGAGGTGAAAGTTGTACAATGAAAATGACAAAACATTGCTAAAGAAATTAAAGATGACATAAATAAATGAGAAACACATCCCATGTTCATGAATTGGGGACTGTAGTGTTAAAATGTCAATACTACCCAAAGCAATCTACAAATTCAGCACAACCCCTATCAAAATCCCATAAGATTTTTTGCAGAAATAGATAACCCTATCCTAAAATTCATTTTGACTCTCAATGGACCTTGAACAGTCAAAAATCTTGAAAAAGAGGAATAAAACTGGAAGACTAAAAAGTTCCTGATATCTAAACTTACTACAAAGCTACAGCAATCAAAATACTGGCATCCAGACAAATCTATAGAACAACAGAATAAAATACACAGCCCAGAAAGAAACTGTCATACAGATGGTCAAATGATATTTGACAATGGTGGCAAGACAATTTAATTAGAAAAGAAATGGTACTGGAAAAAAATGGATATCAACATTTAAATGAGTGAAGCTGGATGCTTACCTAACACTACATACAAAAATTAACTCAACATAAATTGAGGACTTAAATGTAAGACTTAAAACAATAAAACTCTTGAGAGAAAACATAGTATAAAAGCTTCACGACATTGGGTTGGCAATGATTTCTTAGATATGATACCAAAGGCACAGGTAACAAAAGAAAAAACAGACAAATGAAACTTCATGAAAATTTTAAAAATTTATGCATCCAAGGACATTTTCAATAGAGTAAAAAGACAACCCACAGAATGAAAGAAAATATTTGAAAATTATTCCTGATAAGGGATTCACACCCAGACTACATAGAAACCTCCTAAAACTTAATGACAAAAAACAAACAAAGGCCAACCTGCTTCAAAAATGGACATAGAACTTGAGTAGCCATTTTTCCAAAGATGTTATATGAATGGGCAACAAGCCAATGAGAGCATGCCAACATCACTAATATTAGGGAAATGCAATCAAAACTAATCCAATAGCAGACCAGCTCATACCCATTAGAATGACTACTATTAAAGAACAAAAAACAAGTGTGGTGAGGATGTGGAGAAATTGGAACATTGGTGCACTGTTGGTGGGACTGTGATGTGGTACAGCTGTTGGGGAAAAGAGTTCCTCAAAAAATTAAAAATACACATGGAATTCACCACACTGAGGATGGCAGAACCTAGGTCTCTGTGCTATCACTGAGCCACAGATTAACCACCCCTGGAATTGCCCCATCTCAGATCTCTTGCTGATGAAAAACAAATATTCTTGATCGTTTATGTCAATATTAAACCACATCGACATCAACAACATTGGTATGGTTGTGTGGTTTGCACCATGAAGCATTCTTACTGATTCAGTTTGCTTGTTTTCTTACCAAATGTTAAGAAGATGCAAATTAACAGAATAAAGCACAGAAAGTTAGTTCCCGCATTTGTGTTTTGCTCACTGATGAATCCCAGTTGCATTTATCTGCATGCTGAGAGTATTGATGGAAACGCCATGGCTCATCGGCTTAGGCGCTCGCACTGTCAAAACCCTTTCATGGGCTGAGTATTTCCACTCTGCTTCAACAACACCCCAGGTGAGGGATTACAGCTGGAGTAGTATACATTTATCACCACTCTGGGCAAAAAATTAAGGCACGCATTCCAGTGACAGCAAGGAAGTGGTACTACTCCCTACACGGACAGGGTCACATGTAGTTTAAGGCCATTCAAAATGCGCAGAAAGAAACCAGAGCAGTCTAACACCCCCACTTCATAGTTGGAAAAATTGAAGCCAGAGCCTCCATGTCACACGCCCAGCTCGATCCCAGCGGGAGAGATGGCTTTCAGACCAAGCACATTAATCTTCTATCTCGTCAGTGCTGCAGGACCACACGAATGGGTTAAACCAAGAGTGAGACTCAGCCTACAGTGTCTCAAGCAATTCAGAGAGGGCAAATGTTATTAAGTAAAAAATAACTTCCCCTGGAGTACCAATCCATTCAGTTTCCAAACCAGAAGTTAGAGAAGAGAGAGGGAAAGGAGGAGGGAGCTAAGTGCCTGGTGCATAACTGGAACTCGGAAAGTATTTGTTAAACTAAGCTGACTACAACAAAGCAGATTTCTCTCTAATACAAACTAATGCTTTCCTGGTCACCTCATCTGCCTTAGCAAACTACATTTGGATATATCTCAGTCTCTTTCCAAAGAAGGCTGCTCCTGAGTTCATATAAGCTTATTTCAGTATGTTTCATCCACACATGTACTTTGAGTGGGAGTGAGACAGGGACAGAAGGGGCCTAGGGGTAAAAGGAAGAAAAACTTAGGGGAAAAATATATTGTACACACACATCACACCCACACACACACCATGCCACGCAGAGCTCAAAAATCAAGTTTGAGGAAGGATATTGGTCATGAGTCCTTTGCCTTTTGGCAAGGGAATCTTCATCACTGATGCCAGCCATCAGGTACTTGAGGCCTGTGATCCAGGTGCGGGCCTCCTCGGGGTTGGAGGTGATGAGGTCCAGGGACTCCATGTGGTTACCATGGTAGATGGTAAAGCAGCAGCTGGGGTCAAAGTTCCCCTCGGCTTGTTTGTGGAATATTTCCGACTGCCGCCCCTCAGCGACTTTGTAAATGGAGTCAATAAGTACTGTGAGGAGAAAGAGATACAGACAAGTGAAGGTATGGACACAGATTAAGAAAAAAAGAGAAGCAAAAATCATTTTAAAGTTTTCAAAATAACCATGAACCAATTCATTGTCTGCGAGTTGTGTTTTTAAGTCCCAGTGTGAAATGCAAGCCTTTTGTCTACATGAGACCTGAACTTTCCGGGCAGTCTGGACACTCCCTCCCAGGCACTGACTCGAGACAGGCTGAAGTTTATGATAAAATGATAGATACGCCCAGGAGGGCAAGAAAGGTCTAGGTAGAAAAGGGAGCTAATGAGTATGTTGAAATACATATTCATACAGGGAAAGTGGACAAAGACCGAGAACCTACTTTGGTGTTTTAAATATGCATGAGAAGATAGAAAATTGAAAGGAAAAAGATTTAGTGGTAGCCAGATAGCACAGTTAAAAGTGACTGTTATTTACAGTGTGAATGCTGTTATGGGGAAGGCAGAGCAGGGCTTACAGAGGTAGAAAGGCACTAGGTGGCTTCCCAAGGCAAGAGGCATGAAGATACAGAAACCTAAGGCCTGCTCCAGGGCCAAACAGGCCAACTGTGCTGGCTGCAAAGCTCAAGAGGCAGAGCAGTAACAGGGGATAGCTGGAAGGGCAGTTTGGAGAGCCTAGAATAACAGACGAGAGGTTAGCACTCTTTAGGCAGTGGAGCAGGACTGAGTGTTTGGATCAGAGAAGAACTGCAGGGAATGTTACTTTAAACTGAAAGAGTATTTTTATTGCTCCCTTATTTTTAAGCAAGAATTGGAAGAGTTGCACATCTTGTTGACTGCCCAAGTACACCATCCACTTCTCCCCTCCGCCTTAATGCCGAGTCCAGTTTTCTTCTGATATCAGCTCATTCCCTACAGGACTCAGGAAAGTGAGCCTATGCTCAGCCCCAGGGCAAATTCTGGTGGGTCTCAGGCACTGCGGTGTCTCCATTCCTATTTTTCAACAGTAGATTTAGGTGTGGAAATGCAACCCAGTTCTAACCAAGGAGAGCTGGGGCAATGTGTTTTGAGGGAAAGGTCTACAAAGAGGCTCTTCTCTCCTCAAAAGGAAGTACCCAAAAAGGGGGTCCCTTTCTGCCTCTGCACTGTTATATGAGGCTGTGAGGGCCACAACAGCTGAAGCCATGTTGCTGCCACCTTGATTAGAAGCCAGTGCACAAGGGACAGAGCCAGGAGAGCACTCAGGAAAACAGCTAGAGACCCAGGGTCCCTTGTCTGGACCCTGCCAATCTCTGAGTTTCCTATGATGTGAGATAATACATGTGTTCATCATGTGAGCCTAATGTGGTCAAGGTCTTCTGTTACTGGAAGGGGAAAGGACCTGAACTGATAGAAGCAGAAGAAACTAGCAAAATGGAGATTGGTTAGGAGACTTTGCAATAGGCCACCAGGAAGGTGAAGAGACCCTGGACAAGGTGTTCCTGTCACAACTGGAAGGAAGGAGCAGGTGAGAGAGACACTGCAGGAGAGCCCACCCAGACTTGGTGCTGAGTGTGGAAGGTGTGAGGGAGAGGCTTTAAGTAGGAGCTGGATCAAAGCTATTCTACTTGATTCCATTAAAATAATTAATCAAGTCAACTGTGCTCAGAATATAGCGAAAGAAACGTAATCAATAAAATATATTAAAAATATATTTAAATATTTATCAATAAAAAAGAATATAGTAAAACACTTCAACTTCCATTGGATTTATTATATCCCTAAACGTTCATAGGTAAAGTAAAAGACCTCAGGCTGTAACACCTCATATCCCAAGTTAAAAATATATATGTATATTATGTCTCCAACGTGGGAAGTATTAATATTCATAGCATTTATGAACAAGAAAACTTTTATGGATTTAAAGTCCCCAAAGAATTTTAAAAAGCAATCATGATTATTACTTATTCTGTCTCTCCACATCCTTTAATAGTTGACGCCAAATCTTGGAAAAAATACGGAAGTTCCACAGATCCAAAGCTTCCGCAGAACCCACTCTAACCCATGTGTTGCTGTGTTAGGCCACACGAAGTTCAAAGGTGGATCTTACTTTTGGCCTTCTCGCTCTTCCTGGAGGGTCTCCATCGGAGGCGGGTCCGGTGTTCATCCAGGTAAAAGAGTCGGACAAGCCCTTTGGTCCCACGCTTCAGTTTGATCATCTGTGTCCCGGACTGCATTACACTCATGCATCTTTCAACTGCAAGAGATCAGAGCACATTGGGCCCTCACACAATGCACATGCACATTGGTGTTCAGAGATGTTACTGTCAAATAAAACCTCTGATTTACCCCTAAAGACACCCAGGACCAGAAGACAAATTTGCCACAGGCACTCTAGGAAGAATTGTTAAGGAACTGATTCATCAGGCTTAAGCCAGGAAAACACCTTCCTTACTGAAATAAACATCTACTTCCCAGTAAACCACGCATTACTATTGCACAGAGCCATCACAGAGCCATCTTGCCTCCCAGCTGGCAACACACTTTTGTAGTATGTGACTAATGATCATTTGTTACTTGGATTTATATTCAAAAAGCAAGGTCTCAGGCTTCACGTTAGATCATGTGAGTTTCTGCACAGCCAGCTATAAAGATGTCTTATGATAATGCTTTAAAATGCAATCAACAGAAACATAACTGGCAAAATATTTCAACAATTGTTGAAGTTGGATGATGGCTACATATGGGTTCCTACTATTACAATTGTGTATGTTTGCCAGTAACTAAATATATATCATTTTTAAAATATAATTTAAAAATCAAGTTTTCACAGTTGAATGTAAAACTTTTTTTTAACTTCCCAGCATCAATTCCCTCCTCCTTTTCCCGCCAAAAGCATTCTGGTTATTCTTTGAGTCATTCATTTTTCTCTTCATTTTCAGCCATGTGGATTGTTTACAATTCCAGGTCTAGGGTATCTCATCACTGTGGTTTTAGTGATTGGTTCGGAAATGGGCGTGTGACTGAATCTAAGCCAATGAGATAAAATGAGCTATTCACTCGGACTTCTGGAAAAAATGGATTTTGTTGGCCCCTCTGTACCTAAACTTCGCAGCCCAGAGCTTCCAGCTGTAAGACAGCTTGGAATGGACCCCAAAGCAGAGCTGATAAGCAGAAAGGGAGAGAAAAGCCCAGTCATGCTGTTGGAGCCCTCACCATCAAGCTCCTCGTGAAACTAGAGATATGTCACTGAACTACGCAGTTTCTGCTCAAACGGCTTCGACCTGAGTGTTCTGGTCCTTGCAACACAGAGAGGTTTAACCAATACACCCAATAATACTTGTATCTGAGCCTGAGCAGACGAATTAACCTGTCAAGTTCTGATTCTACATTTAGGATTTTATGAGACTGAAGCTGAAAGTTGCTAAGTTCCGGAGATAGAATCTAGCGATAACTCCTCTAAAGAAAATGCCTTTGTTGAGCTAAAAGGAAGGCTTATTCTAAAAGAAAAGCCTAGAGGAAAATAAGGATGTAGACATAAAAGATGTGTTGATGAATTAAGCTGCTGGGATTTTCCGTGCAGAGGAATAACTTGGTGATTAAATTCAGGTGATATCTAAATCACTTACTGTCCAAGTGAAAGCTAACATTTCAATCATCCTTACTTTGAGACGAACCTTGCTGGAAGGAGCCATCTATTGGTGTTGCCCGTTTCCCCATCACTGGTAACTGGGAGTACTCTTTACCTATTTCACGTGTCTTTGGCGACCTGCCCAACACCCTGACTAAGAAATGGGCTCCTGACTTAAGTTTACAGCAAATGTGCCCCCCTTCCAAGGGAGCAGCGTCTGAATAAAAACAGAACTGAGTTGTCTCAATGGCCAGGACTTCAGAGACGCTCCTGGTTGGCCACTGCAAGGTGCCTCTTCCTGAGGCTGACAAATGACTCCTTTTTCCTCTGGATTCTGCACCTTATGCAATACTCTTCCAAATGTTCTTTTATTGTATCAGCTAGAAAGAGCTTTCACTTTATCACCCAATACACAGGCACATATATCACCGTCAAAGCACTGGAGACATCTGCCTCTGGGGACCTACAAGCAGGTTGCTGTTAGAAACAGAGGAAAGGTACACCGTAAATAAACATCAACAACATCAGACTTCAGCTTTGTGGCTAAGTATCCTGTCTTTGCCAGGAAAGAGAAATTAACGCCAAGGCTTAACATCATAGGTGCAGGGTACTCATTAAAGGGGCTGTCGTTCGACATAACCAGCTTTCACTATTTCCTCCTCGAAAAGCCTTTCTTCCCCTCCCCCCCACAAAATCAAGGGAGAACCACATAAAGTTGAGTATGGTTTTAGGAGTTGTTATTACTGGGAAGGTGAAGTGTAGCTTCCTCTCCCTCATTTTATCTGATATATCAAATATCCAAGTAATAAAAATACTGCTTCTTAAAATGTCTACTTTAAAGTGCAGAACAAAACTGGAGATTTAGTTTCACACATATTAGTAAATTTACCCACCACTGAGCACCCTTCAGCACCATGCACTGAGGTAATGAAAGCCATGGATTTGAGTTGACGGTCACACTGACAATCTCATACCGGTAATCAGAGGGAAAACAGAAAACAGCACGTCTGTGCATCAAGATAAAATCATCAAGCCAAACTAATCAAGCCAAAAACACCAGAAAAGCCTATTAGAACTTCAGTACACAGATGTTCACATCTCATCTCCTTGCTCGAGGCACAGGGTTATGTAATGAGGTAAAGCAGAGAATAAGGAGACTTTGTCTTTACCTTGAAGAGGTGGAATTTTAAGAGAAGGAAATAGCTAAAGATATCATTTGTTCATGGCAGTTTAGAGCTGTGGCTAAGAGTACTGAGTCTGATTTCAGAGCCTGGGGTAGAACTCCAGATCTGCCACATAGTAGCTATGTGACCTTGGGCGAGTTATTTAAGCCCTTGTTGCCTCCATTTGCTTATCTATAAAATGGGGATAATATTATCTACCTCTCAAAGTGCTGTTCATTGAATGAATTAATTCAAGTGGAATACCGAAAACAGTGTCAGGCATATCATAAACACTGTAAATGGTAGTGATTTTTATGGCTTTTTATGGATGTATTTTAAAAATAAATGCCAAGTCAGAAGTAAAGACAGAAATACGGTGGAAGGCCATAGGAAAAGGACACTGCAGTGAGCTGGAGTGGGAGGAGGGTGGTAATAAAAAGCCTTGGGGGCAGGAGAGAGTCGAGGTCTGATCAGAGGGTGGGGAAAGAGGGGCCTCTCTCTCTGGAAGAGTAATTCAGAAGGAATTGATAGGTTACATGATTCGATGGGCCAGATAAGCCTGGGCTGTAGAGGGTTAGGGATGCCTGTACAAGATTTCCATCCATGGGCAATGAGAGATTGCTAGATATTTCTGAGCAAAGGAATGGCAGGATAAAAGACATTCTTCAGGAGGATGTTTCTTTGGGAAGACAGAATAAATTGTTTAAATCAGAGTGAAAAAAAAGGTTGAATTAACTGAACTATCAGAGATCTATAAAGCAAGGACTGTAAATCTATCGATGATCCACAGGGCTGACATGTCCCTGCTCTGTTCACACTGCCCCTTCCAGTCCCACCTCTTTTCCCTGAAATGGAATTGCTCTGGCCATAATCTCTCAACAGTTCAACAGGAAATGCACAGCAATATGAAAATGTGAACAGTTACTTGAGCTTATAAGTACCGCCTACCACTTAGCAAACATCATCCAGAGAAACCAAACATTTTAGAAAATGGGATCCAATCTCTCAGAGAGGGAGTATGTTTATATAACATACTAAATATTCCCTAGCTTCACATTTATTCCACCAGCTCAGCCAGGGGCTAAGGCTCCAGTACCATAACAGTGGACAAGCATATACAAAATGATCAAAAGGTACTTGGCAGACTAGGCTCTGAAACGACGCACTGCTTCAACTGCTTATGTGGCCGCTTTATGCTTTCTCCATGATGCTCCCCTATCACATAGAAAAGCCATTTGGTTAGAGTCAAATTGAAAAATCAAGGGCAGTGGAGTCCTGAGAATCAGCTAACCTACTTCTCCCTTCTTCAAACAGTCCATTGCGACATCCAGCTAACCAGAAGAGAACCCCTTCCATCATTCCTTGTAAGTCATCCCAGCAGGTAATGATCACCAATGTTGGAGACAAAATATTCTTCCAGTGTTCTCTAAATCACTTAAGTGTCAGCATAAGTCAATTTCTTCATGCTCTGCCTTCATTAGAGGAATTTAACAATAGTTATTACCACTCCCCACCCCACCCCACCCCCACACAAAAGTCACTCTCCTACTATTCCGGATCTGTTGATTCCATGAAATGGGCTGAGGAACAAGGAAACGAAGAAAGAGTTCTAAGAGCAGGCAAACAAAGACAGAGTCCCAGTGGCCTCAAATGGTAGAACCCCATCACACACACTTCCAGTGCTGGACAGTGTCTGGAAAAGTCTGCAAATATGGGTTACGAATTCAGGCAGCTACAGACTTGTGCACTATCTCTTTGAGCCTACATAATGCTCCCTATGGTAGCCTTACTATTTTTAGAAAAGACATTTATTTGGATACAATGCAGCAACACTCAAGAACATCAAGAGAGAGCCCTGACTGGTGTGACTCAGTGGGCAGGGCATTGTTCAGCAAAGTGAGGGGTCACCAGTTCGATTCCCCAGTGGGGCACATGACCGGGTTGCAGGTTTAGTCCAGGCTGGGGCGCACATGAGAGGCAACCAATTGACGTTTCTGCCTCGCATCAATGTTTCCCTCCCTCTCATTCTCCCTCTCCCCCCTCTCTAAAAATAAATAACTAAAAATTTTTTAAAGAATATAAAGGGAGAGATGCCCATCAACCCATCACATCACACATACTCTTTTTGTCTATTATGGTCTGGATCTCAATACGTGCACAAATTTGACATAGTGGCTGCAATCATGATATTTAAGCCATTTGGCCCTCTGCTTTATTTCATCTCTACATAAACAGCTTTCCATGTTTCTACACAGTCTTAACAATTATCATTTTAATGGTCGCCTTATAGCACAGCATAAATATTTAAAGAGCAGAACAGATGAGCAGAGAACTATATTCTAACTTTATTACATAATTAGAGTTTTAAAACTTAACAGAGTCTCATCTGTAAAATGAAAGGGGTAACAAAAGCATTCTGCAAATCCTTTAGAATTCAACTCTTTAAAAGGATTAAATCAGTTA